GGGGACTGCCGGTTTTAAAAGCACTAACTATTTTGCCAGTATCATTGTAGGATTTAACAACCCTGCCTACAACACTCTTGGAACGTTTCACTTTCTCTGAAATCTCTCTAATGGTGTGCTTTTCCCTGTGTAACTTCACAATAGCTTATCTCACAGAGTAATCAAGTTTTTGGCGTTTCGCCATGGTGCCGGCTGATGCAACGTTTACAAATGACTAAGTAAGACTTATTCTTTAGAGGAAATCAAAAAATTTGAATATAGCATATTGTTTACATTGTTTTTCTTAATTTTGTCCCTTACTTTTGGACGATCCTATTTTGAAAATAAATAAATAATTGTTATAATTCTTTTTCTATCCTTTGCAAATGATTCAAATTTTAGTATGTCATTATGGATGATAACGACTACCAGTTGTCAAAATTTCAGCTTTTCACAGTTGTTATTTCTAACAAATATTAGGTTTTAAAATTTTGTCCTTAGTTTTGGACGCTACTATATATATATATATATATATATATATATATATATATATATATATATATATATATATATATATATATATATAAGTGTGATTGAAATGTCACTCACCATTTTAATATACTCATAGTTTATTTATTAACCATAATTTCTATAAGAAATACATACTAGAGGAAAGCTATTAGCATGAGGTTTTATTTAAAATTCGATAAGGGCACCAACCGAGGAATCACGTCAACTGATTTCACCAGGATCTCTTGTGGTATCGAAGAAATAACTTCTTGTATTTGTCCTTCAAGTTCTTCCAAATTCTTTGTTTTGTATATATATATATATATATATATATATATATATATATATATGTCTGTGTGTGTGTGTGTGTGTGTGAAATTAGTAGATCAGCCGATTACAGTACCTTGGTTTCAGTCTTTTGATATCTTCGGGTGATTTCGGTCAATTGATTTCCTAATGTATTTTTTTTTTTATAATTAAGAACTCTATATTTTTTAGAATAAATAAATGAATGAATTGGCGCAATTGTTTTGGAAATGCATTGGTGCGGGGGGCGGTAAAGGAAATACAGGTATTTTCTTTTCATCCCCATTGATATGAACGCAAAAAGAAACTTACTATGTATACAGCGCGTCATAATTTCAGTTCTTTCATTCAAAGTTTTTTTTTTTTCATTTGACCTGGAAATGTTATTATAGCTATTTTTTTGTTGAAAAAGTTTGCAGATGTTGTGAAGAAAAGGAAAGAGGAAGAGAGAAGGGGTTACTTACGGACGGGTTGCTTGAGCCTCGGGGGAATTGTGTCCAGCTAAACTGGAACCAAATGACCAACTGATATTTATGGTCTTGGTCGGAGGAGGATTGTGGGAAGCAGTTAGCCTCCTTATAAAAACCCTCCTCTGTATTCTGATTGACCTATTTTCTCTATCAGCCGACACGTGACTGGTTATTTGTCGTGCTGAAGGATTATTTCTTTTTTTCTGCTCTGTTACTCGACCTAGTTGGACCAGGTCGCAAGAGGAGGATTCCTTTTGCAACCCTTACCAGGCTGTCGCTGCTCTCTTCTGGGTTTTCCCTACTTTACTGTGTCGAAAGTTTTTTTTTTCCGACAAATTGCAAAAGGAACTTCTACAGAAATTTGTTTTTTCTTTTTTTTGTTAACGGCATTTCTTTAAAAAGAAAAAAAAAATGGATGTTACTAAAGAACAGATCCTTCATAGGTTGACTGTTCTTAAAATCAAAGTCGAGGAACGACTGAAGTTGTGTCGTGGAGACAGAGTAACGACTCATGTTTTCTCTGTCTTCCGAAAGGATATTCTGCAATACATCTTCGAAATGGAGACTTGTATCACAAAATTAGAGCTGGGCTCCTTCCTGAGACGGACTGTTTTGAGACCGAAGCTGAATGGGCGCCTCGACTAATGGAGTACCACCGAGAACTGGGCGATCTGGATGGTTCATTTTCTCCCAGTTCCTGCTTGGATCCTGTTTCCCAGTCGTTTGGGGTTCCGTCAACACCTGGAAGAAGTTCGGCTTCCTTTGTTGTCAAACCTCCGCAAATACAAATAACGGGGCCCACCTTTAGCGGACTTGAGATGGCTGACGACCACATGAGTTTCCGGAATTTTTGACGAGATTCGAAAACTGTGTGGTTGGCATGGCCAATGACTCTGAAAGATTAAACTTTCTGAAATGTTTCCCTCTCCGACAGAGCTTTAAGACTGATTAACCATTTGAGTTGCACGGATGCCAACTATCAGCGTGCTCTTTCGGTGTTAAAAGGGAGTATTTGGACATTGATGAGATAATCGACCAGATATTTCAAGACATTCTAGACTATGTTCCTAAAAGGACATCTGCTGCTCTGGTCTGGGTGAATTTATCTCAGGACTGCCTCTCTCTTGGAGGAGCTAGGGAATCTTTTTCTTGCGACTTTTCGGTGGACGATTCTGGTGGAGCTCGCCTAATGGCCAAGATTCTTTTCAGAAATTTCCCAAAGAATTGAAGGGGAAATGATAGGACTAACAGGTAAACGAATACCATCATTGTCTGCTATATTGGAACTTACAAGTGAGGCAGTCAAACGATTACGGGTTAAGGGAAGCGCGTCTGCTGCTTCTACATTCACCACTAGCCAGGGTTCTTCTCAAAAAACCGCACGGAGGGCCACTGTTACTTCTTCCTTTCATGTGGATTCCAACAACCTGACTTCTGCTGGTTATTCCGTATCTTGCCCCCCATCCTATTGGTCACTTTTTTTCAATGGAGAAAAAATGGTGTCAGTTAATTGCCTTTTGGACACTGGTAGTGGGCGTTCGTACTTGTCTGCTGATGTACTGAGGGACTTGGGTTCAGTTGAGACTGTTGGAGTCAGTTGTCGGCTTAGACTTTTCACCCTCCTTGGTGAGTGTGACCGGAATTTCACGGAGGTGGTTCTGGGAGTTGACCTTGGTTCTGGTGAGGCTTTGGCTTCCTCTGTTTTGGTCACTGATGCAATGGACTTGTCTGTACGACTGGCTCACTTGGAGACCCTGTTGGGTGCTTTTAGGGCAGCTGACTATAATTTGGCTGGCCAATTTGAGGCCAGGTCAGACCTTGTGCTTATCAAAGGGCATTATTGGATTGGACCTTATTCATCGATTGATTACATTGAAGTTGGTCCCCTGTCTGAGGGTTGGGCATTTTCTGTTCCGTCAGGCCTGGTTTCCTTTGGAACTGTGGACTCCTTTTTTGTCAGGAGACAAGATCCCTTGTGAAGTGGCCCACCTCTCCTTTAATACTGTAATGGGGGATACCCCTGAAGTGAATTCCTCACATTTGTGCTTCGTTCTTGAAAACCAACCAACCTACCTTGACCCTTTGGCGGAGTTTTTTTTTCCTGACAGTGCAGTACAAAGAGGATTGGAACGGATGTTTGACATGGAGTCCCTAGGAATATCTGATGAGGATACCTTCTCTGATTATGATCAAGAACAGATGAGACGTTTTAAGGATACTGTGGAGCTCAAGGATGGGAAGTATTACGTGGAGCTTCCCTGGCATTCTGATAAGTTGGCTCGGGTCCCATCCAATCACGCCGTTTCTTTGCGCATCTTGGACCGGGTGGCTTCAACCCTGACTAAAAAGAATATTTATCTGGAATACTTAGAGGTGTTCCGTCAGCAAGAACAGGATGGAATAATTGAAGAGATTTTGTTCCCCAACACGAATTTGATAAATATGTGTGGATTCCACATCGACCGGTTTTCAGGTCTGACCCAACAGCTACTACCAAAATCAGACCTGTGTTCAATTGCAGTCTGAAGACTGGTGGTGGATTGTCCCTGAACGAGGCAGCTTACTCTGGGGTCAATCTAACTGGAGATATGTTGAAGTTATTATTGTCTTTCAGAACTAACAATTACGTTCTGCTAGCAGACATTCGAAAGGCATTCTTGATGATTCATCTCAAGTTGGAGACTGACAAAAAACCGGTTTTGTTTCTTCCTTAAGGATGGGGATCGTCTTCGCTGTTTTCGATATACCACCTTGATATTCGGGTTCACCTCAAGCCCCTTTGTACTGGGGTGTATCCTGAAACTACATGCAGCAAGATACCCACTGGACGCTTGCCGCAGGATGATTGAGGACAGATTTTATGTGGACAACCTTGTAACATCGGAAGCAGATCCAGTGAAGCTGGCGAAATTGTACTCCCTGGCACGGGAACGTTTGCAGGAAGGCGGCTTTGTTATTCAGTCCTGCAACTCCAACGATGAGGCTCTCCGAGCCAGGATGAAAAGAAGATGGTACACTGAGTGCACATGATGAAGAATGGGAGAAGGTACTGGGTTACCGATACAACCCTCTTTCAGAAGAGATGCACGTGGGCCACGTCAGGTGCGATCCCGATGCGTCAACAAAGAGGGGAGTGCTTTCTGAGTCAGCCAAAATTTTTGACACCTTATCTCTTTGTCTCCCAGTTACGGTTCGCAGCCGAATACTTATTAGGTCTATGTGGAAGAATGGTTTGGGTTGGGATGATCCTCTCCCTACTGCGGTTTTAAGTGATTGGAGGGGGAGCTTGCTGGGGACCTGTCTGGACTGAGTGACTTCCATTTTTATCGAAAGGTTCTCGATGCGAGACAGCCTGGAGATATGTACCTCTTTGCGACGCTTCCACGGAGGCATATGGATTTGCCGCTTACATTGTGCAAAATCATCGATCGTCCTTGGTGTTTGCTAAGGCTAAGGTCGCTCCGATGAAAGACAAAACTCTACCTGTTTTGGAGTTAATGGCTGTTTATCTCGCTTTCAAGTGCCTACCAACAATCCTGGACAACTGTGAAGGGTTTGTTCCAAGTAACTTATGTGTGGCTACTGATGCCCAAGTAGTGTTGTCTTGGCTCTTGTCTCAATCCATGGCCATCAAAAACATTTTGCTAGAAACCGACTCAAGGACGTCCTGCAAATGAACCTTGTTAGAATCCCGTTACGGCCTGAAGACTCTCTTCAAATATGTGGATTCTGCACATAATCCGGCCGATCTGATCACGAGGGAATGACGTTGAGGAAGTTTCGTTCCAACTTCCAATTTTGGTGTTCTGGTCCTTCTTGGTTGTGTGAGGGAATCATCCAGTGGCCGACACAAGACTTGCCTTGTTTAAGCGAGACGTGCCAGCAGATGGCCCGTACTTCAGTGCACTGTTCTATGGTTCTGAACCAAGAATACCTCTCCGTCATACCCTTTCACAGGTTCTCAACATTTTCTGGGTTACTGAGAGTTACCTCACTGGTGTTCAAGTTCATAGCCATTCGGCTAGGACGGAGTGGGATTACAGATCTAAGGCAGCCATTTACCTGATGAGAGTTCTCCAACGACATGAATTCCCTTCAGAGGTTGAGTATTTAATGAAGCCAGCAGGAAGATCTGAACCCGTCAGAGTTCGTGCCCTGGATCTTTTTTGGACTCGGATGGGTTAATCAGATCAAGAGGAAGAATCGACCGATCTTCATATTTTACCTATGAAATCAAGAACCCTATCCTGATAGGGAAACACCACCTGTGACCAGACTTATTATTTTGGATTGTCATATAAAGTGTTGTCACCTTGGAACTGGATCTACTTTGGCTGAGTTGAGGCGGAGCGGCTACTGGGTCCCTCAAGGAAGACAGGCCGTCAACAAGGTTCTAAAGTCATGTGCCAGATGCAAACGATACAATTCGCGACCAGTACTGCCGAGTGCTGCGGCCAGTTTACCAACTCATCGAGTCGAATTTGAGGTCCCTTACCAGCATACAGGCGTTGATTTCACCGGCCATTTCTGGGTGAATGATGGTAAGCAGGACAAGAAGATGTACTTGCTCTTGTTCACGTGCTTGAATATCAGAGCAATACATATTGAGTTGGTTCCAGACATGAGTGTGCTATCCTTCTTTCAAGCCCTGGTTCGCTTCACCAACCAAAGTGGAGTTCGGAAGTAATCTACAGTGACAATGCTAAAACCTTTCTGGGAAGCGGAAGACTTTTTAGTCGCCTCTCTGTCTTCCAGGAGTATAAAAGCAAGTATGGTTCTTGCGGGTTAAAACTAAAAACCATCCTCTGTTTTCACCTTGGTACGGGGGAACATGGGAGCGTTGCATTAAAACGGTGAAGGATTGCCTTTTTAAGATTCTTGGCAGAGGTAAACTGGATTATTTTACCCTCTTGACAGTGGTCTCTGATATTCAGAGATCGGTCAACAACCGACCTCTGACCTATCAGTTGTCTGTTGATAACAATGCTGCTGCTATCACACCCAACATGTTACTTAGGCCCAACAAGAGTCCGGGGCTGTTGTTGCGATTGAACAAAAATGACATCGCTTCTGCAGTACCAGCCAGTAGAAAAAGGCTCGTGGAAGCAATGGACATCAGGAACCAGTATTTATTAAGGTTCCATGAGTCCTGGTACAAAGGAATACCTTCTGGAGCTGGGAAGAAGGGTCCGGGACGCACACGGTTGCGGACAGAGAACCGGCTTCAGAAAGATGATGTGGTCCTGATTAAGAGTCCTCTGAAACCGCGACCATTTTGGGTCTTGGGGACAATTACAGATCTCATACCCGGTGATGATGGTGTGGTCAGGTCTGCTCGTGTCCGAAAGGGGGTGGTCTGAAGAGGTACACTCTTTGAAACACCTCTACCCACTGGAACTTTCCCTGACAGCTAACCGTTCTTCTGAGTTACCAACTAGTGGTCCTGTGTCACCCCTGGGAGTGCTTTGATTGCAGAGAGGGACGAGGTTCCATCATGTTCTGCTGCCAACGATGAGGAGCATGTCTGGTTGTGTCCTGTGTGCAACTCTCCTCAGGGAAATCTGGACATGATCGGGTGTGATTCTTGTGATGAATGGTTCCATTTTCGTTGTGTTGGCATTGACGAGGAGCCGCCTGAAAGGCAGAAGTGGTACTGCCCTGAGTGTGCGCCCCAAAGACGACGCAGGGGTAGACCAAGTCTGCTTCCCGCCTAATTGGCAATCAGTTAGCCATTTAGAAATAAGAACTCAACTCGCCTGTCAGGGGAGAGACATTGTTACCCGTTTTTTTTTTGTTTTTTGTTCTTTTTGTTTTCTCTCTTCTCTTTCTTTTCTACACGTCTTTTTTTGTGTTTTTGCTGTCGGGAATGTGTGAAGAAAAGGAAAAGAGGAAGAGAGAAGGGTTATTTTACGGACGGGTTGCTTGAGCCTGGGGGAATTGTGTCCAGCTAAACTGGAACCAAATGACCAACTGATATTTATGGTCTTGGTCGGAGGAGGATTGTGGGGAAGCAGTTAGCCTCCTTATAAAAAACCCTCCTCTGTATTCTGATTGACCTATTTTTCTCTATCAGCCGACACGTGACTGGTTATTTGTCGTGCTGAAGGATTATTTTTTTTTCTGCTCTGTTACTCGACCTAGTTGGACCAGGTCGCAAGAGGAGGATTCCTTTTGCAACCCTTACCAGGCTGTCGCTGCTCTCTTCTGGGTTTTCCCTACTTTACTGTGTCGAAAG